CAAAGGGCTGATTTTTCTCTCAAATTTCTAGTTCATCAACCTATAAATACAATAGATGCACACAATCAGGATCTCCTGCCTAAGGCACTGAACATAAAATAAATAAACAAATGACAAATATTATTTTATCTCTTTATTTTTTTTTTTCCAGAATATTTTAATATTGAAGCCCCAAGTTGTTATTTTCAAGGGACAGGGAAGAGGGAAAGGAAAGGRAGGAAAGTTATGAAGACAAATTATTTTATTTAATTTATGGTTTTGTGAATGGTCATTTCTGTAGGCAACAAAAGGTTGTTTTCTTAAAAAAAAAATAATAAAACCAACAGCACCATTAAAGAAAGCATGATCCCTGAATTCTAAACAAAACACTGTCTTGAAACACAAAAAATTGCTAAAATGCTTGTTTCACCCAGTCACATCTGGTGGGGTAACAAAGCAAAGCATAACAGCATTAAACTGTAGCAATCTTGCTGAAACCAACTACACCCCCTTCTGAAGATTCAGAGAACCASTTTCCAAGCTTGTCCCGTGGGAATAACATTTTCTTTGGTAGAGGATTGAAGGAGGGTATTTACTTCACTGAATGTGGATAGAAAAAATATCTATGCACGTGAGGGATCTCCCCAATAAATCTGTATTTCTCATGCATGTTAGGTACGAGTGGATTTCACATTGCTGTTATACTGCAGGAGTAATACTGCCCTATAAAGGCATAGAATGGCTAATGTTGAACAGATGTAAACATTCAGAATACCGACAAAAAAAAAAAATACATACACACAAAAAACCCTGTACTGAAAATGTGAATTGAGTTAAGTTTCCATAAAGCAGAAAAGATATTTTACAGCAGTACAAGAGAATTATGGCAACAAAGTAAAGCACTTTTCTTGTAACATTCATGAACAGTACAAATACAACAAAGTTATTCTACGGACTAAATTATTCTTTAACTATCAAATATAGTACAAAGCGAAATATTATGTGCTATAAAAGAAGCAGCTCCTTAAATTAGACTAAAAAATGCTTTTTTTTTTCTTTTCGTTGGTTTTACAGTGACAAAGCATGATGACCAAAGACAACAGGATTTCATAGATTCAGAAACATTTAGCTACACAGGTCCATGATAAATGCACTGAATATTTCGTTGCTTCCCCGCCAGTGCTCCGCAGAGCCACGGAAGATGAACCGCTGCGCGGCTGCCAGGAGACCGCAGAAGTCATTCAGTGTTCAGAGCAGGGCCCTTCACGCGTGTCAGCTAAAATGATCCCTTTTGGTGACACTTCTCAGCTCATCTCGAGTGTTTATCCTGGTACTTCACCACACCTTGGAGAAACTGCTAAACCAGAGGCTACAATAACGATTCTGAAATTGTGCGTGTGTTCAGAAGGGGAAGGGGGTGCAGCATAAGGTAATTTTACTTCAGAAATTGCATTATAAAGCACCATATGCACCAGCTTAAAAACTGTGCAAGGAATTGCAGGGCCCTGAAAAACCATCTGCACGTTCTGTAGCTTACCCTGGCAACATGCACCACCCTCAAGAAAGTCTATAGTACAGAGAATATACCTTTTGCTTTATGGCTCAACCTTTATTTTTGTCTTTTAAATGCTATTTCATGTACTAGATCTCAGCAGATAAATAAAATGCAAACAGGGAGCATCCAGTTCACCATTTCTTAATTTTTTTTTTTTTTTTCATTATTTCAAAGGGAGTTTCTGCTTGGAAAATTATTTCAGAACAGAAACACACAAACACACTCACTGCRAATGCCCTAACGTTATCTGCATATCTCACAGGTATGCAATTAAAACAATAAAGAGGGAGGAAAGAAAAAAGTGTTTCTCCCTCTCACCCAAAAGTGCTGCTCCAGGGGTAGGAGTAGGGGAACAATTTTGGAGATTTAAAAAAAAAAAAAAAAAAAAAAAAGGTAAATTATACATGCTGGACACTGGGACACATACGTACGTACACACAAACACAGAGCAGTGTGTTCTTAAGTAATCCTTTCACCACTTTTCAGTGCATAAACAATTATTAACACCCCACGGTGCAAACTGCATGGTCATTAGAAAACACGCGAACATTGAGCCTGAAACCTGAACAATCAAAAGACAACAAAAAAAGAAGTAATTCAAAATTAACATCTAAATGTGACTGGGTTCCTATCAAAGACCTACAGTCACTCTCCCCTAAGCATTTGTGTGATACCAAAATCAAGGTCAGGTTTTCAGCTACACGAAAATTCAATCAGGCTCTCGTATCTCCGCGGTTGCTCTTGAGTATTTTCATACTCTAAACCTAATCTGTAACAAAATTTCACCACTGTTGCTAACTAACTGCTCGAATTCATTCCTGATGCCACTCCAATGACTCAAGAATGAAAGGAGTGGAACTGCACTATGGAAGAGTTTGGTCAGTTGTGTAGTGTAACATAGCACCATCCAGTTTAATGCCATTTTAAATACATTTTATCATGACCTCACACATGCAAGTCGCAATCCTGATACAAAAATGACAATATGTCCTGAATGAGTGACCTACTACATTAGTCACACTCTTACCCTTTGAACAAAGTAAAACTAAGTTGTGGCTGGAATCTATTTCTGCATTGTCAGTCAATACAAGAACTATTTCAAGATGCAAATACAAACAAATATTGACTTATGTGCTGTGGACAGGAAAACCTGAGCTAGAAATAAGGATTCCCAGCAGGCTTATATAAACATTGGTAAATAGAAATCTAAGACCAGTTGCTCTCTTTTTTCTTTTTTTTTTTTTTTTTAAATAGAAGTATCCTAGCTCTACCAAGTATAAATACAACGCAATACAATTCCAATACAAAAGCTCCTCAAATATGAATCTGATACACATTAACTGACTACACTCATGTTTATTCCCGACTATGGCCCAGTCATTGTTTTGCAGCAGCTGGCATAGCAGTGGATGCTAATTTTCACTTGGTTACTAACTTTTACTTGRTTGGTTCATTTAGGTTTTTGCTTGGCTGTCTTATTTTCCTACCAGAAGACCTGAAAGTGCTGAGRAGCCATTCCTTAGTTTACACGTCATATTAAGGAGCACTTTTGTATAGAAAAAAAATGTATTATTGTATCAGCAACAAATTTGTCAGTTATTACAAATGACCTTCATACCACACAGTGTCAAAAATAATATTGATATGTTGCTAATTACAATAAAAGAGAACATCAAGGTGCACCATAGAGCTTCCTATGACAGGAATGTATGTTATAAATATTCCAGCTCACTTTTAAGACTAAACGGCATTTATCGTGTTTGTGAAAATGGTCCCGCAAGAAAATAAATGTGGTTCCTTCATTCAGCAGAACCTCACTAATAAGCACCCGAGTCAGGGAGACAGGTAACAGCTGATGACTAAGTACACAAAGATCCAATAAAAAAAGAATACTCTAAAATACAGCATACTTTTCATTTCCTAAATGTAGTTCTGCCATTCACATTAGTACTTCAGAACGCAACAGCTCACTGCACGATGAAACCAAGCASCCTTACATCCCACACATTCTTACTACTCTTAAAACTGTGCAAGGAAAACCAGTTTTCTTGGGCAGGCTGTAAGGCCTTTGGATTAGTGAGGTTCTACTGTGATGGTAAAAAAAGACATTTCACTTAATGCTGACATTTGGGCAGACCCAACCACATATTGGCAGATGGATGACTTGAACTCCACATTCTGCCTTCTTGAAGTGGGAGTAAAGAAACCCCCAAAGTGTTTCCATCTCCCCAGCAACTGCATGTGCTTCATCCCTTTATAATATTTTCCTTTTAGGTGAATAGGACTCCAAAATCAGCGTTTTTCGTTTCTGCTGTTATGGTGGCTAGCACATCTGGAATGCAGCTATATTCCTGAATGTAAATACAGTACTGGATAAATACTGAAGGTTACTTTAAAGATGCAGTATCCCTTTTAAAAATACTTTTTGCTTCCAAATTGCTAAGAGGGTCTGACTTCCTTTGAGAAAAAAAAAAGTCAGTGTTGTAAGTAATTCTAAGAATCATTTTAAATGGCAAAACTCTCAGATGTTATTTAAATAGAGCAACTCACATAAAAGGAAAAAGAAATTATAATCCAACATTCAACCAATACGCAATTAAAATCTTTCCTTATTCATTCATCAGAAGAACGCATCATTTTTAGGCCCCAGAAAGGCTACAACCTTGAGAACAAATGACCTAAGGCTGAYCTTATTTTTATATATATTTGGAACTGAAAAACCTAGTGGACAGATTGGAGACAAATACAAATAAAGACCCTTWGAGTGAGAAACAGAAAGAGAAAAGAGGTTTCCAATCTCCAGCAGAGAAGTTACTTTCTCCAGACTCTACTGAAGCCAGTGTGTTTCCAGTGTTGGTCCCACTAACTCATCACATATACAAATCTTTCTCAAGGAATCAGCAAGAAGAGATGATGAGTAAGATTTGAGTTCCACAGTCCCTGGCAGGCACATAAGGAAACTTCTCTAACAATCTAAATTCCTCTTTTAAGTTTCTTTCGTTAGGTGAAGTGACTATATTTTAGCCCTAGATAGTGAAAGWCGATTGAAGAAAACAATCTTGTCAGTGGAAAAACTGCAAACTGACTTAGAAGCTACGRCAGTCAGCACCCACACCTTGCCACTTCCCCACTCAAACCAATTGCCATTCAGTGTGTTATTCATTCTGCATAGTTGCTCCACTTCTTACAGTGCTATTCTTCCACTGATCTTTAACCTGCAGCTCATATAAACTTCCAAAAAGTGGAGAAAAAATGTGCTGCACTTTGTGCAAATAAATAGAAGCTACGAATGACATGCATTAATGCATTTTCTTTTTTTTTTACCACGGCAAGAGAGCTCATACAAGCTTCAGTAACAAGGCTATCTTTTTTTATAAACTACTTCTACAGGTTTCCTCTTCTTCCCCGAAAATGGCACTCAGGCAGGAATAACTAAGTTCTGAAAGCACCATGTAGAAGAAAAAAAAAAAAAAAACCAGTTAAAAAAAAATAAAATCAATCCACTAATTGCAAACCATTAGTGGCCTAAACTGCTCCAATTTCTCTGTTCCTTTGTCCTGCTCTCCCACGTTGATAAGGGATACTGCATCTTTGATTCAGCTCCTACCGCACCACCAGACAAGCTACACACAGTTTGGAAGGCCCTATGCAGTCGTCATGACAGAAGGCTCCGCAGCCTTTGCACACGATCATGGCTTTCAGCCTGCACGAGCATTTCAGTTCCAGTTCATCGGCATTGCTGCTGTCAGCAAATTTCTGAACCGGGATCTGCGCGTTCTGGTTAGACAGGCCTGTGGCAGTGTTTGAACCACTTCCTAAAATCCCAATCGATTTCTCAATTGCAGATGCTGCCCTTTTGAAGCTTGTGCTACCAAAGTGTATTGTTGGATAATTTCCACAGAGCTGCTGCTGCTGCTGCTGCTGCTGTGGGTGCTGCGTCTGTATTTTCTGAGCAGCAAGTTGGGTAAAAGGCTTCTGTGGCTCAGAAAGTAAATAGGAAGAGAAATCTGCATTTTTTAATGCAAACGCTTTCAACTGTTCTTTCACTTCGTTCTGATCATAGGAAGCTTGTTTCATGCCCAGTTCGCAGCTGCTGCTTAAACCTTCCTCGAAAGAAATAGGTTCAGATTTTATATTGCTACAGATGCTTGCTGGCTGAGGCCAACTAAGTCTTTTAGTGGTTTCCATAGTAACTGTCGGTTGTTTTTGATCAGAGGGGACTTCTGCATTTGGGTGAGGAGGGGGAGGAGGTGGCAGGGGCGGAGGGGGAGCAGGGGGATGCGCTAATGTTTTACTCTGCAGAGTTTGAGAGGCACTGGCAATGTCATCACCTTCCTTAATTTGAATATTAGGGGAAAACACACTTCCTAGCCTCAGCTGGTGAGCTGCTGTAGAAATATTCACGTCTCCCAAGCCCTTCTGTTCCAGGTGTCTGCTAAAAGCAAACGCGTTGCAGCCAGGTGGGCCTTTTGAAGTAGTTTGCAACAAAGCTGCCGTAGGAATGGGGCCCCTTGCAGCCATGGACATTTGGTAAAAATGCTGTCTATGTGAGGTACTGGCTTCTGCGTGAAAGCTGCCGTTTTTATCAATGTGAAATAAACTCTGCTGGAAACTGCATGAAGGCAATGGTCTCTTCTGCTGCTTGATCTCCGGGCTGTGAGCGATCCGGCTCTGAATGGCGTGTTTGTTCAGCCACTCCTGYTTAAATGGCTGTCCGTGCCCTAGCTGATTCATGCTGGAACTAATTACACAAGGAGCCACTTTAACATCTGTGTCCATTGATACCTTCCCAGGCTCACATTTAATTTGAGCATGTTCCCCCATAGTCCTGGCCATCCTCTTTTTCGGATGGTTTTCACGCTTTCTGATTTGTAGCGGGGCTATGCTGCCTGCTGTAAATCCTTTACCATCTGGATTAGGAGAGTTGGAAGCATGTTCAACAATATTTCTCTCGGCCACTGCTGTTTTACATACTGAGGTAGTTTGCAAAGGCAAGGGGAGCCTGTTAATTTCTAGTTTGGCTCCTGATCTGGGCTGCGGCAGCACTTTTTCTAAAGGCAGATTGCCTTGCAGTAACTGTGTCACTAAAGGATTGTTGGCCTCCACTGACGACAAGCGACAGCTAGAGCCCCCGGCACTCGTAACTCTCTTCAGGGTTTCCGTCGTCAGGGACAGGGAGTCATCCATGGAGTCCGCGATGGATGTCTTGGAGCTCTGCGGCGGCTGCACGCTCGCRGCTATTTCTGCAGTCTGGGCAGGCATTTCAGGTCCTGTAAAATCCTCGGTGTCCATCCTGAAGCACTTGTCAGACTCATTAGTTTCTGATTTAACAGGAACAGCAAGGCTTGTCAAAAGACTCCTGGATTGCAGTTCTGACATTTGTGTGTAACTGGAAGGTTCACTTTTGACATTTTTCAAGCAGTTTTGCTCTGCGTATTCCTTATGCTTAGCAGAGGTAAGATGGCTGACCATGGGCTGGTCTGTGCTCATTGCCTCCTCGTCACGCCAACAAATTCGATTGTTAGGGTTGTACTGATTGGCACAGGCAGCACTGGCTTCATTTTTCAGWGCTGAAACACCTCTTAATTGCTCAGCAAAGCCTTGGCTGGTAGTAACCACCTCAATTAATTTATCTTGAGGAGCATGAGGCACTTCTCGAAGACTTGAACAACCTGCCTGCAAGTTTTTGCTGTCTTGCTTTGCTGCAATAGTGATAAAGCTGGAACTGTGCTCAAGGTTTTCATTAGGSATCACTTCAGGCCTGCTGATGACAGACACCTGAGGACAGGCGATACTTTGTAAGGCAGCTTCTGTCCTCACAGGTCTGCTCTGCAGGTCAATGCTGTTCTCTGCGTGTTCAATAGAGGCAGAAAGGGACAGACTGGAATTCTGATTTGTAGTGTGGTCAACAATGACTTTGCAAGGTATAGACCTATTCACGGCAGTTTGCGCAAAGCTCAGCGGCTGAGATTTACCAGAGAGATCCATCCGGTTTCGTGCTCCAGAGCTTTTTTCTAAGAGATCAGCATTCAATTTAGCAGCGTTATCGTAAGAGCTTATCGTCACCATGTTACCAGTAAACATTGAAATGGGTGGCCTTGCCACAGAATCTGCTGCTGCGAGGGCCTCACTGCAACTTAAAGCTGACCTGACGGTGGTGTGGATGGAGACAGTGCCCTGCTCGCTACACCCGCTTATGGCTATCTTATCAGAAGGAAATCTGTTGGCAGCCCCCACTGGGGGAATCAGTACAGAACTACCAGAGAGATGGTTTGGCAAGTTACTTGTAATAGATGAAGCTGGCAAAGTGGCATAGTGACCGGAGACTGTGTTATTCACATTGCTACTGGGTAGTGGCAACCTTTTGTCATCGATGGCGTTTGGTAAGACTGTGTTGTCTATGGAGACCGGTACATTACTGCTATCGACACATTTTGGTCCGACAGTTATGCATGGAGTATCAGCCCCTTGGATGGTTTTCAGCATATTTATATTACAAGCTGAAATTGCCGTGTTTGCGCTGTCAACAGACATTAACACAGAGGATTTATCAACAGAACTTGCAAAAGAAAGTTCTTTAATTGCTCCAGACATAGCAGTGCTGCAAACACACACAGAGACTGAACTTTTATTATAAAGCACTGGCACACTGTTACTTTCAGTAGAGGTAGATGAAATAATTTTCTCACACAATTGTGGCACAGGTATATTTTCATCAGAACTGTGCACAGCTATCTCAGTAGCAGTTTCTGGTAATGTAGCTGTGTTAAGGGACTGCTGCAATAAAGTGGTGGTCTCACGGTGATGAGAAGACTTGTTGCTAGGGGACCTGCAGTTAGGATTAACTATAATCACACCAGTAGAACCTTCAATCTTTGTGTCAGTAGTCGTTGGTATCTCCAGAGATGAGGTACTACTTTCCTTTGAGCTGAACTGTGACTTTGATTCTTTATTAGTCTGGAGTAAATGAGCTCTGGCTTGATGTTTTGCAAATAGCTTGGCTTTTGTTTGCTCCTTGATGTGTGCCAGCGTTCTCGTCTTTCCACCTTCRCACGGGGTCCCCATTGCTCCAGAGACTATGCTGGCAGCTGCTGCCACAGCTGCTGCAGCTGCAGCTTCTCTTTGGGCTCTTGCTTGCTGAGCTCTTGCYTTGATATCTGCCAGAGTTCTAGCCCCAGTGTTTCTCCCACTGCTGACTGATGTACTTGGGGAAACTCGAGGTTCTGGTTTAGAAACAGGTTGACTCTTGATGATAAAAGGTGGTCCAATTTTTGAAAGCTGAATCTAAAGGAAGGAAAAGAAAAAAACCCAGTAAATTTTAATGAGATCATCAGCTCACTAAAATAACCAGCTACCTTTCTAAGGGTCAGAGGAAGGTAATGAAGGGAGTTACTGTTCAGTGCAGGTGGACAGAAAACCGCTAAAAGTTAATGATATTTACRCTTCAATATTTTATCACCCTCCAGCATGAATAACTGACACCTGTATTAGCCTGCTCACACTRATGCTTCTGCCAGGAAGAAAGATTGAACTCGATGATAACATGATGCTTATCTGATACAATTTGTCAGACCTGTTTTATATGTAGTGCTACTACCTGAGACAATCAGCAACCCTCGTGCAGCAATACTGGACAAGAACCTACCAGCAACCCCTTGTTGCAAACATATGAAAAGCAAATGATCACGTAGGGCTTTTCTCCTTGGTCTCCGATGATCAAGATATAAGGAATAGCCTGTGTTTTGCTTATATATCAGACAGGGAAAGGAAAGGAAGTGGTGGAATCTCCATTGAGCTGTTTTCAAAATTACACCACAAGATTTAAGAGGTGTAAAATAAGTGAGTCACTAAAGGATACAGCTTTCCTCTCCTCACTTGCATTTTTAAGAAACTTGCTTTAGTACATCCCTGGGTAACTCCTACACTACTACACTTCAAAAATTAAATCCTCAAGCCTATAAATATTAAACACACAAAGATTAAAAAATTAAATACCTAGCACTTCAAGCAAAGTAACAACCTGCAAAATCAATGGAATTATTAGGATGTTTCCAATTACACATATCTTTTTTTCAGGATTAAGAGTCTTGGAGYTACTTTGTAACTCATACATTCTCTMAGAATACCCCAAGGTTGGCAAAAAAATTCCAGTTTCTTAAAATGGACATACGTCTACTAGTAGTGCACAGTAATAGGACTTAGCAGACATCTTCTGAAAGGAACTGAGAAGAAAACTAGGTAGTATTTGTAGAAAAAGTAGTCATAAGATATGATGGGARGTGACAGCCCTATAGCAGAATGACTTAGAAGAACTGGGGTGTTTTCTCATCTTTTTACAAAAGGTAGGGGGTAAAGGTGTGATGATAAAAGAGCCAAATATTTGTTACACAACAAACATACTAGAATTAACWGTCCAAAGTTCTTCAAAACTTTCTGCTTTCTATTTCAGCAGTGACTCTTTTCAGTTTCCACTTTGTGGAACTCCTAGAGCTCTGAGCACTTGGTTATTTTCATCATTATTATAGTAATGACCTTTTTTTAATTCCCTAGTGAACTATTTTCCTTTATGTTTAGAGAGTTATTAGAATTTATTAGGCTAGATAGACACCTYCCAAATATGAAAAAATATCACTAAACTCAGAGCGGGGCTAACTTCCAAATGCATCACTGCTCTTAAAAATAAATTAGCTGAAATATGCTTCTGCACTAGTGATTAAAGTAGTTAGTCTATTTGCCCTCCCGGCCACATTAACAATGTTCAGTGACTGCAGCAGTTAAAAATAAATGCAGAAAAGGGCATTTCTGAATAATCAGGAACTAGTATTGCAAAGTCAATGGCATAAATGCAGCAAATTAGATCTTAAATTTGGCTGATGTCATCAAGTACAAAATTAATAGGGTCAAAACACTGAGCCTATGTATAACTACATCTATAGAAACACGTTATGAAAAAAGCCCTTTTCAACTGAAATATACTTTCTTACATAGAAGAATGATATGCATAAAAGTGTTTGCTTAGGTCGTRTATTTTTTTTACCTTTTGCTTTTCCATTAACAAAAGTATCTATACCTACATCAATCAGATACTTCTCCCAGATATGTCTCTGATTCCAGTTAATTCTACACAGAAATCTTATATTTCAGCCTACCCCAAGCCCTGGGCTTGCAAAGGGATCTTCAACTCTTCTGACTCTTGGTTCTCTTGCTGAATTAAGATGCTGGTTGTTTTTCTAAGTATCGGTTATGATAACATTTATTATTCATGCTTGTTGGAGAAGACATCCACAGGAGAACAAGCACAAAATACAGATGGACAATTAGAAAAACAAATACTGCGTGTGACTGATGGGGAAGATCTTGAATTAGATTAAGCCATAGATCTTGGAAAGCTTTCCCACATACAAAATCAATTTTTTAGCAAAGACCCCTACTGAACAACAGCAGATACATTTGTATCAGAAGTAATTTGGCATGGTAGAAATGTAATAATAAAGCAAAACCATCAGTACAAACAACCTTCATACATCCACAAAAAAATACACCATGCACTGTGCCTGCATTCAGTTCGTGGAGGGAGATAATAAACATTTTCTTTCCAAGCCACCCTGTTTATTCATTACTTTACCTTAAGGGGTGGAACTCGGGGTTCCTCTCTGGGTGGCTGCTCTTTATCAGATGGACTCGTTGATGAAGCATTACGGTTCGGCTGATCATCATCAATTCTAGCTCTCTTCTCTTTACAGATTCCAAAACTGTGCTGTTCTGCTGTTTTCCTCTTTGGGATCTCTGGGTCTCTTTCATTTCTTATTTCTGGTGATTTTGTGGGTTCTAAGGACTTGGAAGAATGTGAACTCTCTAGACGACTTTGGGTGCTGCCTGTGAGCTTGTGAGATTTACTTCTGCACACTTCAGAGAACGTCGTTTTCTCTAAAGATGAGGTATATAGTTTATCATGTGGTTTTGATGGAAGCAATTCGATATTTTTGCCAAGTGATCCTTCTGATAAAACAGATACCTCCGAGGGCAAGAGTGTACCTTTCTTGTCACCTCTTTGCTGAAYGCTGTGATTTTTATTTTTGATCACCTCTGGAGGAGTGTGCTCTGGAATGGACGCAATGTAGGATTTCTCAGTTTCCGAATGTGACTTACATGGCTGGTGACTGTGGGTTTTGCTTTGTGACTCTTCCAATACTGAAGAATCAGCTATAATTGTTAGCGGACCAACTTTCATATTTTCAGGGGCACACGGAAGTTGTTTTGGCTGAACAAGATTCTCTTCTTGAACCACTTTAGGAATGACAGAGCTTTCTTCTTTCAGAGTGGGAAGGGTATCTTCCAACAAACATGGTGATTTCCTTTGCTGCAGAGTAASTCTTTCACTACTTGGGGAATTAGAAACTGGAGATATCTCTGACGGAAGAGGCAAACTATTTGCCACAAATGTTTCAGAAGTTAGAAGAACAGAAGATACTGAAGATGTTTCTGATGTTAAAGGCAAATCGGACATTGGAGATGTTTCTGATGTTAAAGGTAAATTAGAAGCTGGTGATGCCTCTGATGTCAAAGGTAAATTTGACATCAGAGATGCTTCTGAGGTTATGGGTGAGGTGGACATCAGAGAGATTTCCGACATTAAGGGTGTGTGCAAGTTTTCATCACTGGCCTTTTGCTGAATATCACCTTCAATGTTTTCAGTACTGGACACTTCAGATGAGCAAGCTGTTTCAAGAGATGCTGGAGTACAGGGTTCCTCTGAAGTCGACTGAGTGTCTCCTCCAGGAGAGGCAATACAAACTTCTGGACTTCCAGAGGAAAAGGAAGTTTCAGAAATACAGGCATTCTCAGACAACTGTTCCTCAGGGTCACTATGAAGCTCCATATCCACTGCAATGCCTCCAGCAGTGAACAAGGAGCCTTCCAAAGCAGCACTTTGCATTTCTGGCACAATTAGCTCTTTTGCAGACTCAGAATCCTTCTCTGTTGTACCACTGACAGAGTTTGTGGATGAAGCTGAYCGTGCTGGTGATATGCAATCCTCCAGCTGATCTACCACAACTGACATCTCCTCCTGAGGGCATTCTGACTTCAACTCTACTTTAATTTCAACGTGAGATACACTATCAGTTACATCATTCATCATGACACAGGATTCAGTGCTGTCTGCAAGCTGCACTGCCTCCCTTTCCTCATTTGTGCCAGTTGGACTTACAGACTCCTCAGAAAACTCATGCTCTGGTTTATGGTTCTCCTCTTGGCATTCACAAATACTTGTCTCKACCTCTTCAGCAATTTCCTCCTGAATGACTGATTCTTCAGGTATCAGTATATCCTCAGAATCTGTCGATAGATCCTTGACAGGAACCTGTTCCGTACTACAGTTAGATGGACTAYAATCTCTCTCTGGTAGAGGTGGAATTTTAGCACTTTTCTCCTTTTGATCCTTAAAAGTTGCTTGCTTAGAAGGACCAGGTGTGCCAGAAGATCTGCATAGAGAATCGCTTTCATTTTCATCATTGTTCTGCACTGCAGTGAGCTTCATTGATTCCCCTCTTGACATTCCCAATCTAAAGAAAAACAAAATTAAAATAGGTATCATCATCATATAAAGGATGAGGGAATAGGATGACCTTTCTCACCCATATCTTGTATTTACAAAAAATATGTATTTTCTGAATACGAATGAAGCATGGCTTGCCTAAATGGTGGCTAACTATTTTATATAYAGTTTTATGTATTTTGGAAACCTCACTGCTGAGATTTTCCTAGAAGTGTTAAAAAACATTAACATTTTTAGAGTAAGTTATCTATTATTCATTCTTTAACTATTTGACACCTGAACGAAACAAAAGAGCGAGCTACACAGATTCACCGCTATTCACACTCTGTTTACATCCCTATTTGTTTTGGGGGTTGTTTTTTGGTTTTGTTTTCTTTTTATTTTGTTTTGTTTTTTGAGTTGCTGGGTTTTTTTTTTTTTACTACCAGCACAATACTGCAATACTAGTCCAGTAGCCATTGCAGAATAAATGAACAATGTAACATCTCATAGCAGTAACAGTTGTAAAGGAAATCCCTTTTTCCCTTCTTCTTTGCTTTTAAGGTCAACACAGCCAGCAATCTGACAGAAGTTTAACATTCTTACGGAGCTAAACAATACGTATTTATCATCTAGGCATTCATTCTCAGAGATAAGTGCAAAGGAACCATATATATTGTGTCTTCTTATGAAGATTGTTTTTACCTTTGATTCTGAAAATAGTAGTTATATAAATTTTTATTACTTCAGCAGAATKAAAAAATCCACAAAGAAAACCCAAAACAAACCTAAAACCCAGAGATGATATAAAAAAGGTTATTTTAAAAAATGTGTGTGCTCTGACATYCTAATTTCCTTCTAAGGCCAGTGGGAGTATGGGCATTCAGCATCTTTAGTAAGATTTTCCAAGCAGACTTTATGCCTCAGCAATTCTGTAATAGTAGAAAATACACAAAAGCTTGGTGGGAGGCCTTAAAAGAAATTTCATGGTCTTAAGGATCTTCTAATCTAATAAACAGATCTCTGTTATCATTTTAATCAGAAAATACAGAAGAAAATGGRAACAAGCAAGCATAAAAGATACTCAGAAGCTATGAAAGCAAAATTGCTTGTCATTGTGTAGCCAGAGGATACAGAGATTACAAAGGCTTGTTCATAAGAAAGTACAGAACAGGCAAAAAAMCAAAATCAGTGGATGTGCATTCTAAAAATACTGAACAGATGTATTACAGTGAGAGCTACACACAGCCCCAAACCAACCCATCCTGGAACTGRCATCCTAAAAAGCACACTTAATAATTAGTATTGCCTACTACTAGGCACTTAACATAAACAAAATCTCCCTATGCCATCAATACTGAGGCAGGATCCTCTAGAGAGCAATTCAGAGCACATTCCCCACTCTGAATGCATTTCAGAAGATGTCTTTCTTCTGTATAGCCTGTAAGTTCCCCATACAGTTTAAGTTTAGGTTATAAGTTTAGGTGAAGGAAGTTTAGTTTACCTAGGTTTAGGTGAGTAGCTCCCTCTAAAATTCCTTGTGTTAAGGAGCAAAAGTTATCTCAGGAAAATGAGAAGGGAAAACAAATCCACTCCATTACTAAAAACTGAATCGATGGTCTATTTTCTCTAGCTGTCTTACATCATGAAAAGATATTGCCTGATGGTTATCTTTATGGATTGAAAATCAGCAAAGGAATGAAGGACAGGATAAAGGTGAATGAAACTGTCACATGGACACTACACAAATACACACATTCTAGTAGTGTATTGAAGATAAAGGACTGTAAGAAAAATAAGATAAAGCAGATTAGGGACAATAGAACATGTTCTGAATCTTAATCTTTTTTTTTTTTTTTTCCAATGGAAGTATTACCATGTTGAAGAAGAAACTGCAGTAAAGAAAAAGGCTTTCTGAAGAAGAATGCTCAAGATCAGCATGCTGAAGGCAATCTCAGATTGCAAAATAAACAGCTGATGTGTCTTCTTCCTTAGGGAAAAAGACACCCAAAGTTTGCAAAACAGCACAAAAATATGAGCACAGCAGCAAGCAGCCTTCAGTGAAAGTGCTAAGGGTAGGAGTGAACCGGTAAAGGGCACTCAGTCATCCAATAAAAAATCCGGAACAGCTACTCAAGGATACAGGAATGCTGATATTCTATTGCTGTGATGAGTAGTACTAGGCGGGGAAAACAAAGTAAGAAAAGGATTAAATCAGAAAAAAAAWTTAGAGGAGGTGTACCAAAAATTAAAGCTTTGATCTAGCTGATAGTACTATCCTGACATGTAATTCTAAAAAGTGGGAAAAGAAATAATATTTTGACATGATAGAGTATAACCCTTGCAATCTTGGAGCAACAGGCCAGAATAATGTGGATTTCTAGCAACATGCATCAGCTGATCCTAGATAAATGACTGCAGAATAAGTCTTTGTATTTTGAAGAAAGTCAGAGAGAGGAAAAATGAACAAACATGAGGAAGTGRAAAAAGAACAAAAATAGATGAAAGTAAACTACAACTGACAGTCTCACGATAAACAGCCTGGGTACAGATAAGAGCAAACATAAGATGCAATGCTTGGAGCTAACAGGGAAAAAGCACTCTAAAGTCTTTGATTGCCATCAACCGTGGAGTGTATAAAAATGTTTAAAAAGATTCTGCATCTATTAATGGTCCTTCTCCAAGCAAAGGCAACACTTGAATTTACTTATGGAATAGTAGAASATCAAATTTGTTTAAGTCAGAACAAAAATGCTGCYCTGATTGTAAAGTGRGCAAGWTAGCCTGTGAGACAGATTCATTTTGCAGACAGTGCATATGAGAAACAGCTCAGGGAAGCTTACAAATTCTGATAGTTCAGTCAATTCAACCTAGCTGAAAAGAGACAAAGCCCAATCATAATGAGAGCTAGTTTAACAACCAAAGTGAAGAAAGGTGAGAGAATCACGGGATATCCTGAGTTGAAAAGAATCCACAAAGATCACTGAGTCCAACTCCTGGCCCTGCACAGGACTGCCCCATGAACCAATACAAGATGGAAGCTACAGCAAAAGCCACCATTCAGTCAGTAAACACGAGAAAAAGCACTTAAGTCAGGAAAGTAAATCTGCCTACGTAACAGCCAAGCAGAAGAATGCAAGTGGAACAATGCAAGCAGGGGACAGGGCCGGGGGGGAGCAGATTCAATACGTCAGTCAAAATGGAAATTACGTGCAATATGATGTTTTGCATAACAATGTTGATATCAGAGACCTATGAARCCAAATGACATGTATCATCACAGAGTAAGCTATTATCTGCTAACYACCACAGTATCCAGCATTCAGCCAGCACAGCAGGACTGCTGGCTCTGCAGAACTATGAACATCATTYTCTGTGCATGTGACTGTCATTTTTGACTGAGGAACTCCTGCACYGCTGGTAATAAACTTCTACTTCTGGAAGGCCTTATACCAGTATCTTACACAACCCTTTCCTCCGTGAAAGGTTAGTCACTCTTGGTGAAAGGTTAGACTCTTCTCTTGACATCCATAATGAAAAGCCATTATGTTCTTTATCTGAAAACTTAACYGGTATTTTTTTGATACTAAAAGGATCAATATCTGGACTAAACTGAAGTCTCAAAGCTGTTTAGTAAGAAGTTAAGCACTTTACAAGAAGAAAGTCTGACACATTAAGAGCCTAGAATTTCCATTATATGTGAAGATAAAGTGCTGTAGAAAAAACACTCACACTGGGGGAAAGCGGCTAGCAAGAGTGCACAAAATAAAATACTAAAATGGATCTGTGCATTTCTTGTTTTGTTTTCACTACCTTTCCCATTGGTCTGAGGCAGTGGATTGTGAGAAACAGTACTGTTATTGAAAAAAAAAATTATTAAATCTTTAATATAATCACTTATATGAAGGGTTTCTTGTGTCCTGGATTTCTTAAGTGAAAAACATCTCATAGCAAAACTAAGACAACTTATGTGATGATGGTTCCCATTGTAYAATTTTTTCTGCTAAGTATTATGYATAAATTTSATTGARGTAGATTGAGAACTGACTGAACGGCAGATCCCACAGGTTTGTGACCAGTGGCACAGGATTTGTTTGGAGAGCTGTCACTAGTGGTGTCCCCGAAGGTTCAATATGAAGGGGCCKCCTCAGCRAGTTTACAAAGCTTCTGACCCCAGAGCCTGTGCAGGAGGACCTTGACAGGAGGGAGAGATGGGCAGAGAACTGCCTGAGGTTCARYAAAGGCAAATGCAGGGTCCTGCACCTGGGGAGGAATAACCCCAGGMACCAGCMCAGGCTGGGGAARGACCTGGGTGTCCTGGTGGACAATGAGCTGTCCATGAGCCAGCASTGTGYCCTGGGGGCCAGGAAGGCCAATGRTATCCTGGGCTRCCTCAGGARYAGCATCACCAGCAGATCCAGGGAGRTGATCCTGCCCYTCYRCTSAGCCCTGGGGAGGCWCATCTGGAGCGCTGTGTCCAGCTCTGGGTGTGCCCAGTTCTCAGTACAACAGAGACCTGGAGCTCCTGGAGTGGGTTCAGTGAAGTSCARYRAAGATGRTTGAGGGRCTGGAGCATCTCTCTGATGAGGACAGGCTGAGGGAKCTGGGTCTGTTCAGCCTTGAGAAGAGACTGAGGGGGCTTTATCAATGTCTGTAAGTACCTAMAGGGAGGGTGACAAGAGGATGGAGMCAGGCTCTTCTTGGYGGTGYCCAGCAATAGGACAAGAGGCAATGGGMAGAAACTGGGGAACAGGAAATTGCACCTGAATGKGAGGAAGAACTTCTTTACTGTGCAGGTGACCGAGCACTAGAACAGATTGCCCAGAGAGGGTGTGGAGTCTCCCTYACTGGAGATACTCAAGAACTGTCTGGATGCAATCCTGTSCCRTGTGCTCTAAAACAGGCTGACCCTGTTCGAGCAGGGAGCTTGGACCAGATGAAYCAYTGTGGTCCCTTCCAACCTTAGCCATTMTGTGGTTMTGTRATAYAATTWAAAAGTACTTAAAAATAAAATGAAAAAATCAGTAACTTTCAGATARCTAGTTTATAATTTATCATAAATTCCTAGTATTTTTAAAACGGAGATATAAATCTAAGTATTGATGAATTAACTTTTTAAAACAATTTCTGAAAGGAAAATGCTTGGATTTTAAGATGTGAATCTCTTTAAATTTTGTTGTATAAAAAAACATAGATAAGAACTGAATTTTCAAGTACTGAGGAATGCCACCTCTGCATATCTGAATGCCACATGAAATTGTGCTGACTCACCCCAGTTGTGCACCTGGAGTGATACTATATTTAATTTTAGTCAATTAAAKGTATTTATTTAGTCTTTGCATATCACTTCTAAAATTAGATTAGTCATTGTCACTTTCACTTGTCTCTAGCTAGTATTTCTTCTACGTCATATTCTTCTCAGGCCAACTGGCCATCTCTGTCAAAAAAACCCAACCCCATTTGATTTTAGAAACTTTGCAATTGGCCTAGGGAAAAAAAAACCAAACAAAAACATATTACAGAAACATTGCTAAACATTGCTACTGGTCTTCTCATCTGTAGAAGCTGTATTTATATTTTGTAGGAGGAAGGAACTGCCCTAATGCTATTTTTTAAAAGGTAATTAAAAAATATTCACATGCATGTGTCTTAAGCTCTCTTTGGAATGAATTTTTATGGATGAGTTGTGACTYTTTAAAAATGCAATTGTAATGCAAGTGCAGACATGTGACTATAATTCTACCCACAACTTCTTATATTGGGGAATGACTGCTCTTGATAACTGCRTTATTAAGTTTTACAGCATATGACTGTGCTGTGTGAAGCACAGAATTATATTTTCATGTCCCCCTAAAAGAAAATATAAAAAAAACCCTTTTATTCGCTTCAGTACTTACTTTTCACCATAAAACCTTTCAAAGAATTTTTCTTTCCAAGGTTCTGTTTTCTTTTCCTTTTCAATCTCTTGTCTGATGCGCAACTGCATTTCTGGTGTAAATTCTCCTAAAAAACAAATACTAACATATTGAATAAAAGTTGTCAAGGATTAGCTTAATATGGGTAATTATAAAYTGCAACTACAATGATGACGTACAGTGATTTCTGATACAGTCATCGAACAATGCCAAATGGAAACAATGAAAACCAAAAGGGAGAGTGACATAGAAGGATTTAATTTATCACATAACAACAGTGTTTCAAAGGTATATTGGCAGGATTTAGTTGCATGCATTCATGTTTCCAAGGCTGACAGTGATGAAAATACTTGGTTTTTTGGTTTTTTTTTCCAACTGTCAAAATAAGCTGCCACAGCAAGCTGCAAAAATGTACTCTAAATTCAAAATGGAATCAGCAATTTTTCTTTTGCTGAATTACTGGTCTATTACAGTTTCCATTCTAAAAGTATTTCTCAAATGCAGAAAAAGAGACGTTCCTCAATAAAAACAATTAACCTTGGGCAAACCTGAGAGCAAGCAGTGAGTTACCTTCTGCCAGTCGCTGTTTCCACCCTTGTGCTGCATATGCAAAGAACTCGTTATTTAGAGCGGAGCTACTGAGGCGCAAAACTCCATCGCTTCCCATCTAGAAAATAAGCCGATGGTAGCAGAAGATAGTGTCAGAAACAGCGTCAGCCAASATTACATCAAAACAGAGATTCAGTTAGGGGAAATGGGGGAAGTGTAGGCAGTGGGAAGAASAGAAAATGACTACTACTAAAACAGCATTTTCATGATAGTCGTTACTGTAAAAGGAAGTGAACTAATCCAGCATCAATGGGCTCTCTTCAGTCATAAGTGATGATAACTCAGTTTACAACTGATTAAAGTGCCTTAATCACAGCCCTRTCTTGAGACTATGTCTAGAGGCATTGTACACAATCAAAAATCAAGATCATTATTGTACTTGTGCATCTGCCTATAATATGGTACGAAACTAATTAATTAAATGTAATGAAGACAGTAACTTCACTCTTTCTAAATAAACCTCATATTCATGTTAGCTAATAAGCTTTATTGGCCAAAGAGTAGATGACAGKAATCCTTAACAAAAGAATTGATGTAAACTCAGCACTGAAACTGAGAACAGCTCTACTCATAATTTTATAGGCATCAAAAGTGAAAACTGTGGAAGAACATTAGAATTATTTGTATTTTCTACATCTGTCAAATATTCAGTAAGACAACATTAAAAGTCTTAATCGCAGTATTTTCTACAATCATTTTTAAAAGCCATTCAACTATAGAGCTATCTTTTACCATAAAACTTAGTGTATATTTTCAAGTTCATGAGGATGTATCCATTACCAAAGGAATTCYAATAATTGAAAAAAGTAATTATATGAAACAAATTAACAGTGAGTATCACCTCTAGCATAATAAATAGACAGTAAAAACAAATTAGCAAATTAAAAAGAGAGTAAACAGCAGAAGAGGTAATGCTGCTAGAACACTCACTACAAACATCCTTCAAGGTCATTTAGAGATAAATGTTTGACAACACTATTTGTACTCTAGCAGTAAATTCCAGCACATTTGCTGGCATATTAACAGATGTTTTAGCTAAGTAATATCCCCTAGTTCTCAGTGCCTGTTTCAAACAGGAGCCAGAAAGACACAGGCATGCCAGAAACACTGAATGATATTTAGATGCAGTTCCCTTGCTGGGCTCTATATTTCACTGATTATACAGGCTCTATTTTGAGAAGTCTTTGCTAATTTACTCATTGCCTTTTTGACATCCTGTCCCACAATTATCCCAGAGGAGTAAACCAAAAAGATATGAAGTAGTACCCAGAGAAATAGCAATAGGCATAGACTCTGAAAAACAGGCAATCCTGAAGCCATTTGATTACAGCAAGAAAACAGTATTTGCATGGTACAGAGTCCCCCAGCAGGATACAAACCTATAGCACTGCTCCCTGTGCTTTCCTGCTATATGGCATTGTTTTGCCAACATGTCAGGCAATTTGKGTTTAAGTGGGTTGGATATGTAATGTTTCTACACATCTCATGATGTGGGTTATGAAACACATGCATATTAATTACAGGTAGGCTATGACTAATGCAGAAACTAGAGAGAAACTGGAAAGGAACAGTGAAATGTGCAGCAGGAGCAGCAAGAAAATAAAACCAGTGAGGTGAGAAAGGCCACAAAGAACATGTATTTATTGTATTAATCAAACTGTCATGACACGTTTTATTCTTTCTGTAAAAATGAACTTTGCCAGAAATATTTAAATTCCAGAATTAATACATTAAAGTGAGATTTTAAAATACAAGAACCTCTTGCACTTAAACAAACAAACCAGTATATGGTCAAACCCAGCACTTTTCTAGAAAAAAAATTCTAGAAAGATGCAAAGTTACAAAGAAAAGAATCACAAATTACTAAATGTGTTCCTTAAGAAAGGTGTTGAAGCTACCTCAAGTTTCAAATAAAAGGAGATGAAATGGAAACACCCATTTGTCAATGCAGGTTCTAGTCCAATCTTCATTGAATTCGAGATTTGGTCTCTAAGCCTGGCAGTATTTTGCAGAAAAGAGTCATACAGACATGAAATTCTTATAATATTTAACCACATTTAACTGCAGGCTGTGTTTGAAAGGTATGAACCCCCTGAAACTGCATGGCTCAGCTAATGGCAAACAGTACAGCTGTATCACCAGCCAGATCAAAAGATCTCATAAGAAAATAATGATTTGTGGACATAATTTTCTGTTAAATTAACAAAATTATCCAACTTACTCTAAGGTCACACAACTACTAGATTTCAGGCAAAACTGGAATGTACCACAGTAAGTGGGGAAAGAGATTGCCACTTGTCAGCAGCAATCCACTATCAGATTGCATTAAACATAATATGAAACTGCAGCCAAGTGTGATTGAGCTATTTCACCAGACTGCATAAATGAAGAGCATTATAGAGACTGCCAAGTTATATTACCATGTGAATACAAGAAGAACAGTATTAGGTCCATTGTAACCCTGCTGTTATAAGGACAGGAGAAAAAGCAAGCTTTGCAGGAAGAGTTACCCCACCTTTTATTTTTGTTGACTAATATACTTTGGGAAAAAGTGCCAAGTTTCTGGGTGCAAATTTCTCACAAAGTTTCAGAAAAGAAACTATGAACCCCAAGCTAAATGCTAGAAAAAGGTCCAAACAAATTCAAATGTGAGCTAGTTCACCTGAGAAAAAAGCACAGGCTGGAATTTCAGAACATAAAGCAAAYGTTAGCAAGGTCATGGGTAAAGGTCATTAGTTCTTGTGGACCAGAAAAAAAAGCCAAGTAGTAAATATCTGTGAAAGTAAAAAAGGAAGGGGAAACTAACACCCGTAAAAATAGCAAATAGGGAGAATTAAATTGGTTTCCTAAGAAGAAAAAATATTATAGGTCAACTAACAATGGAATAATAGACCACTGATGAACTGTACCAAGAGACAGATGCACATGGTGCTGACCACTTTAGATATGCACTGCAGCAGCTTACAAGTACTGGGGAGCTACGTCCAAAGATTGAAAAGATGATGTTAAAGATGCTTAGGTTGAGAAATGCAAGAACAACAAACTCAACAAGATGCCACTGCTTGACTTTGCAACMATCATTGCCTCTTATGAACTGGTAGAGGAGGACCTTTCCTGAGACCTGTGTTCACGGGACCACATAACTCATGGAAGATTTACGTAGCTGGAACAACTGAAACCTAAACACAAGAGCATCTGATGATACAGAAGCTGGAGACACACTAATTAATTAAAGGAGAAGCTTACAATGTTCTATTTTAATATAACATGAAATAATATTTCAGGCTTAAACATTATAGAGGGATGTATGAAAGGAGACATAATCATCTAGACTTGGTACACATATGGATACCAATGTTAAAGATGGAAGAAATAAAGAGGTGTGCAGTCCCAGTGACTGACAAACTTGCTCAGGAATTTGAGATCAAATAATTTTTTGGGAATTTGCTGGGAATGGAAYAGGAAGAATTTGTTCCACCATTAAAGCTCAAAAAGAAAAGGATGAGGACAAAAAGACTAAAGAGACTCATAACGGCCAAAGAGAACAAGAAAATGAAACAGAAATTTTGAAGATGTTATAGAAAGAAAAAAGCACTAAGCAGAAAGCAGATACCACTACCCAAACTAAACTAACAAGAAGTTCAATTGTTAAGCCCTTTTTGGTTCATTTAAAGATTTCCTCACAGTGAAAAATAGTTTGAACATGTTGGAACAGACAAAGCCCAAGTAATTTTACATCTAGCTGTTTTGAAAGAGTCCATCAGAAACAACAAAACTAACAAAGATGTTTCATGCTTTTTCTCAATACCCTAGTCATGCGAAATAAGGCTGACATATTTCATGCTCTGTTAAACTTGGAAGGACTAAGAGGTCATCCTTCTACARTGTTAGCTAACAACCTCTACAGAAACATTTTCTTACTTTACCTGGAGAATGCATTTTCACCTACGTCAACAAGCTAAAGTGGAAATTTTGATGGTATGGAGTATATTCACTTGTCTAAGCTCTGATGATAGAGAACACAATTAACCACTAGCTCTAAATTAGAATTTGGAGAAATATGCCAATAAAGAAGTTCTTAAAAACATTGTTAATTGTTATGGTATTTTGAAAATGCTGTCCAACAGAGACAGTGTGTTAATGAGCTGGGACAACAAACATTTCTTGGAAAGTTATTTTATTATTGGAAAGTTATGTTTTATTCTGTTGGGCTTTAAATGTCTGTTTTTTTCCAATGAAGCACAATGCTAGAATTATGTTTTCTAATTAATACTTTCATGCAGAATTCACAATGACTTTTGAAAGTTTCTCTTTTTATTGAAAGCAAACAAAAAACCACCCAACCCCAAAACATATCTGCTAAAACCCAGCATCCATTTGCATTACAAAGCAAATGTCAAACAYTCTTATCAAAAAGAACTGAGTAACCTTTCTAGAACAKCTACTTCAATTATTTTCCTCCACATTTCCCTGAAAATTCTCTTCTGAAAATAAGGCAGGGATTAATTTTTTAGCACAATCTGAAGATGCACCCTGGTGGTTTACTAAATATACAGCAACTACTGCATACTACGGTGTACTGGTCGRTTACCTGATTTTGGCTAGAATCCTCAAAAGAYAAGGAATTAGTCARCCTRTTATTTCTATATTTCTTTSGAATKATTCAAAATGCTAAWGCATTTATAAAATTTCYAATGATCCACTGTATGCAGTTTTCRTGCAGTATAGCAAGTATAGTAACATATTTCTTACATTATTTGTGAATATCATGCCATTTGACGAGAATYATAGAATMGTTTGAGTTGGAAGGGRCCTTTTAAAGGTCATCTAGTCCAAWCYCKCTGCAATGAGCAGGGACAYACTGAAYTATCAGAGGGACACATTTGCCATCACATGTCTCAAAGCCTCATCCAAACTGACCTTGAGAGTTTCCAGGATGGAGCACCTACCATCTCCATGGGCCACCTGTTCCACTGYTYCACCACCCTCTTCAYAAAAGMCRTTCTTCCTYATATCYCAYCTATATCAACCCTTCTTCAGTTTAAAATCACTACCCCT